GTCACGGGCAATCGGGAGATCCTGTGTGTGCGTCTCTCTGGATCTGACTGACGGCTGTTGCCATGCCGTCCATGTAGGTACGTTAGTTGTCTCCGCGAGCTCTTCAATTGGTGGCACCGCAGTTTGGAGGATCCGAAGGCCATCAAGGCGCACACGATCCACTCGCTGTGCGTGCAGCACGTGTGCGGCATCCGACAGCTGCTGATGCGCCAGACGCAGGGCAAGTGCATTCTGGACGGCCTCGTCAAGCCATCAGTCCCGCCGCCCATCATGGCGCGTCATCAGACAGACAGACAAGAAGACAATCAATATGATGGCAGAGGGCCTCCTGACTGACTGACTGACTGACGTGACGAGGGAGCTGCTGTGTTGTCTGTATATGTTTGGCTTGTGAATATTCACGAATGAATGGGTTTGGCCTGGGGAGACAGACAGACATACAGACAGACAGACAGAGCCGCCCCTCTCTCTCTTGGCTTAACTAACTACACAGCCCACCCCTGCGCACCTCCGTGTGTCGGCGTGTGCGCCACGCACTGCTGCACACGCGCATTCATCAATTTCGCAAACCCTACGCACAATTAGGGTTAGATGAGCACGTCGGCCGCCGCCCCTGTGGCCCCCTGCGCTCAATGGAAAAAAGCCTCCAAAGCAAAAGTATTCGGGTTTAGGGTGTAGGGTTTGCGAGCTTAGAGGCGCAGGCAGGAAAGGCACACGCGCCAAACACAAAGATCAGCAGCAGAGAGGCTCGCAGGAAAACCACACACGCAGCCAGGAGCAGTCAGGAGCAGCCAGCCAATCTCTGCCGCCCGCTGATTGCCCTTTGTGTCTGTCTGTGTCAGAGATGGCCGTGTTGCGCTACGGGAAGTGCCTGGGAGCTACTGCCGCACTGACAAATTGACTGGGGCATCCATTTCGACACGCACAGCCGTCGAGCGCAACTTTCTGATGCACGCTGACCTCCCTCTCCCATTTTTGTCTATCTCCGCAGGCCCGTGTTTCGCTCTGTGGGTGCGGCCCGGTCCATCCATTACATGGGTCAAGTGCATCAGCTCATGAGCCGCACACGTGCCAAGAGAGAGGGGCAGGTCAGCAAAACTGACGACGCTACGCAAGCGCAAAAAACTGTCACCATTTTGCCACTTTTGACCGTAGGATGACCCTTGTCGGCCGCCTGTAGGCCCACATACGACTGATAGACCTAAACTGTGAGTTGTCCTGAGTGCCGAAACATATGGAACGACCCTTTTATTACTTACCGACTTCTTTTCTCTGACTTACTTGGCCGAGTGGGTGGGCAGGGCAATCAATCTACATACCCCCAGGTAGGTGTATCCACCCTCCACACACACCCTCCCACAGATAGAGGGAGAGAGGGACGATATGGCTGCACGCGGACCTGAGGGAGGCCACAGTGTGTTTGGCGGGGCAGGAGGAAGACATGGTGTGGGTGTCCACCGGGAGCGGCCAGGCCTGGCGCGCCAGGGAGGGCTTCTCCCTCAGTAATGAAGGGCACACGCGCATGGCATGGCCGTTCGTTCTTGAATGTCTGTGTGCGCCTTGGTAGGTCGGACGAGTGGCTCTCCGATGGTGCTGCAACGCACCTTCATGCCCTGGGACGAACGCAGGCAATGACTGACTGACTGACACGATGGATGCGATGGATGCGGGAACACATGTAATACTCACTCGTTTGTGCCTGTTTGTGATGCTTCTTGGCCATCCATCCGTCGTGGCTGCATGGCATGGCATGCAGGGCTGCGTTGAGGCGTCTGTTTGAGGAGGCCTTCTGCACCATCGGGTGCCACCGGGAAGCAGCACAGCTAGCACGGACAAACAACTCATGTGCCCTCCCGGTCTGCAGAGTGAGTGAGCCAATATTGATTCCACTTCCTTCACACATCGATGGATGGCCTCTGTGTCTTCTCTTCCTTCGCGTGTCGTGTCAGGTTGTGGACCGTCCCTCTCCTGACGATATGGGCG